CACTCCCAGGTGTAACAACTTTTCCCCGTGCAGAGCGCGGACCAAGCCACACCAAAGAGGAAGAGGAACGACAATGCGGCAAAGATCCAACGCGTCCTCCCGCCACATCAAAAGGCCATCGTGCAAAATCACCCGGCCATCCCCAGCCGAATCGGATGCCACCTGCCCCTGCTCAGACCGACGCCGCAGATCCCCGAAGGAAACATCAAGGAGCTGCTCCCGTATCCGTACAGTGCGGGGAAGTCGCAAAACACTGTCAATCGGTGCGGTCGCGTCTAAAGGCTCGGAAGCATCAACCGCAGACATAGCCGTACAAGCCTGTGAGGGGACGGGTCCACAATGACTCGTACCACACAGAACACGGGCAACGAGGCGATTGTGGCAGCCATGACAAAGCATCCGCATTGCAATGGCGAAAACCTTTACGGTAAACAACGTTGAAAGATAATTCCTGCAGAATCTCTAGCCAACGAGAGAGCTGGCCAGCTGGCTGTTCAATATTCAAGGAGCACTGAAGAGCCGCATGATCAGTGCGGACAACAAATTTCCTGCCATAGAGGTAAGGCCTGTACTTAGGAACAAAGTAAACGATGGCCAAAAGTTCCCTCCGGGTAACACAATAGCGGTGTTCCACTCTTTCCACGCCATCCTTAGTTTGAGACAGGACAGCGCCGATGCCCGTATCACTGGCGTCAGTGTCAAGGACAAACGGCAGCCAAAAATCGGGATTATAATAGTAGCGGAAGCCCCCGTGTCCACCAAGATACGAACGATGACCCTTTGTATCAAACCCGGCGCCGACGAGGACCCCGCAGCCGCCGCGACCACACGACGCGCCAAGTTCCTCCATTGAGTGAGCAGTTTGGGCCAATTCTGTGGGACCCACCCGGAATGACGGTTGTGAGCGAACAGGCACCGTGGATCGAGATGCATGAGGTTACAAAATGTGCTGTGTGTCCGACGTGTAACGACTCGCCTGTGGGTTCGGAGGATGATCCGTCGGAGGGGCCGCAGGAACCGGAGCAGCAGACGAAGATGAAGAGCGAGGACGACTCTGGCATTCCCTCGCGAAGTGACCCGGCCGACCGCAGCGGTAACAAGTGATGGCCGGTCTCTGAGTCCTCCGGTCGTCACGAAGGCGGGGTCCTTCGGTCCCCCGGCGAAGAGAAGCCACGGTCCATCTCCGATCCCACTGATAGGCCGCAGCGGCCAGATCACCGTCCGAGGAATCTTCTCGAGGCGGACTATTCACAACTTTAGACGGGGACCAACCCTGGGGTTCCCGATCACGCTTAGGGTCCCCCGTCCACGTCGCCATTTGCGACCAGCACTGCAAATTTTCGTGCACGTGCAAACACCTGGCAGCCCACCGGGACGATTGTGTTTCGTAGCTGCATGCAGGAAGGACAACCCCCATGTCCCTGGCCAGCGCCAACATTCAATCCATAATGAGCAAGTCGAGCGCCTCCTGCTTCACATCGGGGTAGGCAGCCACAGCCAGTGCCATCAAGGCACTACGGTAGGCCAGGGGACATTCTGAACTGCCCCGCTTACACCACATACATTTTTTCCGCCTGTCTGAAGGTGGCTCGTAAACTTCCGCCATCTCGGGGTACGCACCTTGTAACGTTGCCCGCTTCTCTAGAGGAATGGACCTGAAGACCGCCAGAGCGCCATCGTCCAGCACTGTCGGCAGAGCGACCAGCGCTTCCTCCTCCGACCAATGGTCCGACCGGAACGCCACCTCAAATCTTCAGGTGAAGGCGTTCCAGTCGCCGCCTGCTGCAATTAATTATTTAACGTGGGGAAGATGACATCCACGATCGATGCCGCTGCACGCGACAGCAGTAGCAGCAGCGGTAGCGGCCCCCTTCCCAGCACGCGGCTCAACAACTGTGTTGGCATGGTTGGTTTGCCTCTCCAGTAACCTATATTATGTTCCCAATCATCTTCGTTACTAATTGCCTATGTGCGAAAATAGGTCAACGGGTCTGCATATCCGTCATGTAACGGCATTAGGGATATATCAACTGCCGTTAATTAAAGTTCATTATGTTTATCCAGGTGGGAACTCAAGATCACGGAAGAGTGTAATTTGGAACAACGATCTAGGTTGCCTGGTTTGTTATTTGTGAATCTAGTATTTGTTTCAATCCTCCTTCACGCTGCATTGGCCATGGGAATTGTTTGACCGTACTTCACCACTCTGGGCAATGCGGGCTGGTGAAAACCTTTTTATTCTGGCGTAACTACATAACTACATTGTCAGCTCAAGGGGTGTGGCAATTGGTTCAGGTTGGGCCCCAATATATGATTTATCTCGCACGGTCGCACCTAGGCTATACATCGCGGCTTCGCTTATATAATCACATCGTTACGCTCAAGGTTTCGAACATTTAACGCTGTAGGGGCGCTCCGTCTTCGCAAATGCAGCCACAACAGCTCGGTAGCACCTCTTTGGAAGTTTTTTTGCTATTTATACTTAAAAATACATCTCATGGTGATTGTCAAGGGGGCCCCAACTCCTAACTTTGGCCACCAGGGGGTGCTACGGTGGCGAGATGTTAAATACCTCGCTGGTTTACAGGAGGTCGTGGGTTCGAGCCCATACCTGTCAACCCCTTGTCAGTGCCTACATTATTAGAGACAAATTCAGACCTTGGTGTTCGCCCCGTGGCCTTATAAATCTCAACGTTCATCCTACAAAGTCCCGTCACAAGGAATAAATACAAACAGACAAAAAAATTGTTTGCCCGTATTGAAACGGCGAGGGATCAACGATTAATCGATTTCAAATCGAAATCGCAATTTGAAACAATGCGATTAGTAAATCGCAAAGGCTGCGATTTTTAGCGATTTGAAAAGTCTTATAACTTTAGTATTGGAATTGTTTTATTATAACTATTTATTTAACTTAGCGGCCGTCCATAAATGACGTCACGCGATTTTGGACGATTTTGACCCCCTCCCCCCACTCGTCACACGGCGTCACAAAAAGTCAGACCTCCCCTCAAATATGACGTCACAAAGCTCTGCCCCTCCCCCCCAAAACCATGTTTCCATTTTGAAAATAAAACATGCTTCAAATAGCTTCAAATCAATTGCCATTGTAGTGCGTATTTAATGTGGCACTGCACTCTGATGTTGTAGTAGAAAACACGTATTAAAAAGGAGGCGTTGGAAAGCTTAAATTTAGCATAAAATTTACTTGAAAATATTCAACGTCTAACTAAAACTGCAGATGTTTAGAATATTATATTGAAATTATCTTAATTAATGATAAAATATTAAAAGTTATTATAACTATAAAAAATACTTGAAACTTTGTAGTAGAACGAAGCAAAATGGAGAGTACAATTATAACAATCACAAATTCATTCCATAGAATGAAAAGCCCTGGTAGAATCATTAGAATCAAAATGTTTAATAACAATCATGCATTTTTTTTTCAAAATGTATGCTTCTCCATTCTCCCATGGAGAAGCAAAATGCTCCTTCATGGAATAAATAAAAGGTGACCTGAGTAAATTTAAATAATCAAATAGTTAATAATGAAAATTAATAAAAATAAGTGTTGTTATAACAATTATATATTTATTTAAAGTTGCGCATTTTTACGTGACGTCACATTTCTCAAACCCCCCCCTCGTCACAAATGTCTGAACCCCCCCTTGGTGCGTGACGTCACAAATGTGTGACCATCCCCCCTTGTGCATGACGTCACAAATTGTCTGACCCCCCCCCCCCCTGGTGCGTGACGTCGTTTATGGACGTCCCCTTAACAATTCTGTTTGGTTCTATTTAAATAAAATTGTTTTAATAAATACATGTTGGAAGCAATTAATATATTTTAAGTTCTCATCCTTGCATTAGAATATATAGAGCAGTTCACATGTTTATGGAATCTTGTAATGCTCCATCACATGTTTTAAATCTATTACTCAGTGAATATTTAAATGAAGCTTGACTTAAAAAATGTAATCGCAAATCAAATCGCAAAATCTGTCAGTAAAATTGCAATTAAATATATATTTAGAATTGTTCAGCCCTAGAAACGGCTGTACGCCATGCGGACCTGAAACTAAATTTCCCGCCTGTGACGCCTGTATATTTGTAGTTTGCGTGTCTCTCTCTCTCTACCCGTGGTCGCGTGGATTTATCGCCGGGTCCTCCGGTTTTTCTTTCCACATTCAGAATCAACATGACCACGCGTTCAGAGTACTTGGCGACTATAAATGTCCACATTACAAGCTTAACACTTGCGGCTAGATCGCTTCTGCGTTAATGCCGCAGCAGCTACGAATAGTCCTAAAACAAATATTCCTCCGGTCATGTTTCCTCAAAAATAGCTATACAGCTCCTGTGGGCCTTGCCTGGTAAAACATAGTTTAATAGTTTTTCATAGTTACGCTACTGACTCATTTTTTGTCCCCACTGGAAATTTGATAAATTGCAGTGCATCTCATAACACGTGCTATGGACAAACGGCCATTGACAACGGGACAAGTGCGCATGGACCGTGGCATCGAGCGGCGCTCTGCGGGGCAGTGGGCGCGGCTCCCCCCCGCCCTCCCCGATCGCTCGCTTTCCCCCTCGCGGATTGAAAACAGAAACAACTGGAAGCGTATCGCGCAGAGGCACTCTGACAAAGTCACGGTCACACAGAGGAACGTAACGATTCTCAGCCAAATCGTTTGTGTCCGGATCGATTAATTTTTCTCCCCCATGTTTGTACATGCAAATATATTAAATACATAGCAGTATAAACGTACGGCAAAATAGGATATTTAAAAAATATATATGTTACGATACGCACGGATCAATACGCGAATAGTGGGGCGTAGTAATCGATCGGTTCGGTCTCGGGATCGATCCGTTCGAAATCGCAAAGCCGCCCGTCGGGCGGGGGGTGTGCATGGGGGCGGGGGCGACCGGGGGCGTTGTGGTAGGCGGTGGCAAAAGGGGGGGGGGAATTCACCGGCATGCACCGCGCGGGATATATAAGGCGGGGACGGGTGAGCCGGCGCGTCAGACGACGCGGAGTTCGCGTCGAGCGCGGGGGGTGGCGGAGCGTGCCGGCCGCTCGGATTTTACATAATAAAGACAACACCACAGGCACAGAGGAGGGAACCCAAAGACAACCGAGACGGGACCGACAAAAAACACACACCCGGGGCCAAGGACAGGCAGGCCTCGAGGCCCTCCTCGCGACGCCATGGACGAGAGGAAGGAGGCGGCCGAGGCGGAGATCCAGGAGCACTGCCCCGAGCACTGGTTCTCCATCTGGGAGCGCGAGTGTCTTGACGACGCCGAGCAGGAGGCGCCCGAGGAGGATGACCGCCTCGCCCTGGAGAGGGAGCAGGCGGCGCAGAAGCTGTGGCTCTCGTTTCAGAACTCGGCCACGGCGGTCGCCCAGCTCTATAAAGGTGCGGAAGAAAGCCCTGCCCCCCAACACCTCCCCTCCCCCGGCGAGTGACGTTCCCGGGGCCTCGAGGCGGGCGGTGGCCCCGGCTCGAGTGGCGGGCCGGGCGGGCCGGGCGAGCCGGGCTCGCAAGAGCAGCCGAGGGCCCAAAATGGCGATTGTGAAGAATATGGCCGATAGCGGTGGTTGTAGTAGTGTTGATGATGGTGCTTACACTGAGCGTCGTTTTGTTGTTGAGGGGGTGAAGACCCTAGGTGGTGAAGGTGGCGTTGGTGGCGGTGATTATGGTGAGGTGTTGGTAGAGGCGGCAGTGGCGATGGTGGGAGTGATGGTGGTGGTGGGGAATTGCGGTGATCGTTGAAGGTGGTGGTAGTGATGACGCTAGTGGTGTGGGAGTGAAGACGATGGTGATGGTAGGATTGGTGGGGTGATGTGAGTGATGGCACTAGTGATGGAAACGGTGATAATTTCGAGTGGCTGTAGGGGTGATGTTTATAATGGCTGTAATGATGTTGATCCAGTTGGGCGTGATCATGGTTGTGATTTGACGATTGTTACTGGCGGTGATTGTTGAAGTGATGATGGTGCCGAGAGTGATTAATAGTGGAGGATGCGTAAGATCGCTGAGGGTGATTATTATGGCTGTGGTCGTGGTGGTGGTGATTGTTTTGGGGCGAGTGATTGGTTTGTTTGGTGACAGTGGTGTGATTGTTGAGTGATTGAGGTGTGAGTGATGACAGGGCGATGTTGATGACTTAGGTGGTGGTTGTCATGACGATTATTACTATAATAATTGAGGTGGTGTTATGAGTTGCAATTATTATCGATCATATGGTCTGGGTAATGGTGGTAGTACTGATTGGTGGTGCAGAGTAATGCCGATTATGGCGCCGGTGGTATTTGTAATTGTGACTTTAATCGATTAAGGTGTTGGATGTGGCGTTTTTCACGGTGATGACGATGTTGTTGTTGGTGAGCTTGATCATGAAGATGATGACAATGATAATCATGATGATGCTGCTGCTTCAGTTTGCTAGGATCGTGGCCTGTAGTCGCCAGCCATTGTTTATGATGCAGGGTGGGGTGAGGGAGGAGTGGCCCCTAGGAGCATGGTCGCCTGGTCTCGCTCGCAAGGGCAAGCACATTGGACGTGAGGGAGGTTAGGGGGGGGTTTCATTTTAAGGGTACTTAGCTACGGCTTTATAAAACGTGGCTTATAAAACGTAAATTAATGGACCACCACCAAAGGGTGAATGGAGACATCCTTTTTTACATTAAATATTTCCCTTGGAAAGATCCGTTGATAGGGAACGTGTCGTTTGCAATGGTGTCAACTGTCAGATGCTTTGGAAACACGTAATGACACGTTGGTCTGAGTACGCCTTATTATGACACTGGTATTTTGTATGTATGTTGACCTTCTTTCGCACCCTACGAGGCCAGACATGCTAATCGGAGGTGCGGAGGAAGGACAACAAACTTAAATAATTGTACGAGCAATTTTTATTTTTCAAGAAGGGTGGACTAAATATTTATTTCTGAATTGGTCGCAATAGTTTGACATGTGAAAAGGCACTTCATGAATAAACCAATGTATAATCACGTGGGCCCAAAGAGTGACCAATGTAGAAGTAAGAAAGGGTTCCACATAGAGGAAGACGTGATGCAGACAGTGATGAGAAACAAAGTTGTGCTGTTTGGACACATGTGGAATGGACAACAGCAGGGAAATTAAAAGTGTGCTATTTGGAAAAATGGAAGGAACAGGAAAAAACGGAAGATCCCGTAAAGAATGGTTTCACAATATGGGAGATTGGTGCCAGAAAGATGTGCACCACTTGACCATATTGGCACGAGACTGATTAGATTGATAGTGGAAACGAATGGCGAAAGGTGCAGTGGAACACCTACGTGGATTATCTCCCCATGGAGTGTGATGATGATGATAACCACGTCTTTTATATAGCCTTGAATGTATGTCTGAAATTGTGGTACTCGTGTCTCCACAGACCGTGTCTGCCAGCAGCAGGGAGTCTCCTTGTGGATCCCCTTCCAGAACGCTGCCTCGGCCGTCACGAACCTTTACAAAGGTGCGGGGCGCTGTGCGTGCATGTCCTGTGTGGCACAGCGAGTGGGCTGCATTTGTTACATGTGCGTGGCCTGTGTGCCACGACGGGCAACATCTTCATAGGTGCTCGCGAACAGCACTTGCCTAAACAGTCTGTTACGGACTATACGGGGAATCTTTGTCTTTGTTGGGCAGCGCGGGTGTGATGCCTGTGTCCTTTGTGGCAGAGTGGGCCGCACGGGTGATGTTTCTGTCATGTGCGGCACAGTGAGTGGGTAGCACATGTGACGTGTGGAGCGGTAGTGCAGTGGTTAGCGCGCTGCGCCATGAACCTGGAAACCCGAGTTCAATTCTCGCTCATGGCCAACACCAGTGACAATTATCTGAACCGTTCCTGGGCCTTCCCTAGGTCGACTATACTGAAAATGAGTACCTGGTGTGTGAACATCGCCACTGAAGAGACAAAGGCGGCCGCGTATGGTGCTGGCCCCACCCACCCCCTCGTGTGTTGTGGTGGCTTTCATAGGTGCTTGCTAACAACACTTGCCCCAACAGTTTGTTAAGGTTTTACAGGGGATCTTTGTCTTTGTGTGGCACAGTGGATAGCATGGGTGATGTCTGTCCGTGTGGCACAGTGCGTGGGCTGCACAGGTGGTGCATCTGCTCGTCATTATAGTCGGTTAACCCATGACAACTGGGTCTGACCTGCTAGCGAGTCTCCAACAATTGACGTGTCTTCAAAGTGCACCTAGCCTGGCACAAAACGCTTTAGTAACAAACGGCGGCTTTTGTTGTCGCTTCTTGTTTGTGTCTGTCAGCCGTGCATGAGCGCTGGATTTAATATTTCAGCTGTGTCTTTGTGGAGCAGTCATAGTGGTTATCGCACTGTGGTGGTACAGAGCTGGCAACCCAAGTGTAATTCCCTGCCATAGCTAATATCACTGGCAAGTGATGTCTGAACATCTCTTGGGTCAACTCAGTTTGACATTGTGGAAACACTGGCAAGGTGGCAACTCAAAACTCGACTTATGGCTTATGGAAAGGTTAAACTATTGAATGCTGTACAGTGAATAATTATATATATAAATATATTGCAAAATCCCGCTACAATAATGATGCAACGCTTGTTGCCGAGTGTTGTTTGCTCTTGACAACTCCGTTTTGGAGTTGCGTGTTATTTTGTTGCTCTGTTAATAGTGTCGGTGAGCGCGTGTCTATATCTTTATGTGATCTGCATTTGTCCCTGCTTGTGTTAGTGTCCGTCAGATGTGTCCAATACACACTTTCCTGTCATGCCGAGTCCTTGCGTGTGCGAGCTGTCATTATTGGCACGAGTACTAACAGCCATGTGGTCATCATTGCCCAGCACGCTGTTCAGTTTTTAGTTTTTTGAGCTTCGGGAGTATAAAACAGCAGTTAATATTTCGGGGTCCCCAGAAACATCCCCCTCTCACCTCCTCCCATTGTATGTAGTACACAGAAAATCCACACGTGTCATTTTCGACAACTCTCCGTGCGTGTATGCGTGTGCTGCTATGAATTGTTTGTTTGCGCAATGCCTTGCCTGGACGCAAATGTGGAAGGTTGACTGACGTCTGCCGTTTTTTTTATAATGGATCACAATTGGTTTTTAGTAAACATTACTCACTGCTGATGGGACGGCAAAGCATTGGTTGATGTATGGTGCACTGCAGCTTTTAGGTGGGATTTTAAACTTCTGATAAAGCTAAGGGACGAGAGCGATTGGCGGTGGCATTTATTAACTTTGAAGTGCTTAATAATGTATTTGAGTCATTTTAACGATTTTCACTGAGAAATTGCAGTTGATGATTAAATCCAGTTCATGTTGTCGTGGCATGTTGACAGTATGAGGTCAGATACTATTTACCAACTATAATTGCGTCTATTTAATTGTCTCCCGTGCATTCAAACCATGGTTACATTATGAAATCTGACCAGGCATCTTGTGTAACTTAATCACCTCTCACTATTAGACTGCACGGTATCGGTACACAGCTTGTGTTTAAAAGTATTTTGTCGACAAGTCATCAATGTCACTGAGGGTCAGAGTAGTATGTGTATCTTATTGTATTATGGGGATGTATTGACCACACGTTTACCTCGTATAACCATATCTTACTCGGCAGCCATGAATACAGATTGGTGTGAACAAAGGGCCTAGGTTGAGGTGTCGTGCCGAGTGAGGGTGTTTTGAAAGATGCGTGTAAGGCAGAAGCCACGGGAAACTGGCTTTGCCTACTGTTTTTAATGCAAGCCTGTTCGTCCATTTACACATTCTGAGGGTACTTTAAACTAACATTTACCCAAAATAGGTACATAATGTTGGCACGCTACCCTGCCATACACTAAACTACTTGTACATGTGTACGTTGAACTTCTTTTGCACCATACGCAGCCAGCCGTGCTAATCGGGAAGTGCGACATCGGGGGTACTTCAGTACTTTCAGAGCGGAGCAATTATAATGAAGTTTCCATCCGAGCAACAAAGCGCATGCACATGATGCAACACAAGCGAGAGGGGCCTTGTTGAAGGTGGCTGTCTCTCCAGTTGAATTTTGTTAGTTTTTTTAACGCTATTGCATCTTCATCATCATTGTCGTCGTCGTCATCAATGCACCCTGTACCTTGAGATGAATGGGTTAAATATGGAATGAGTCGCCTTAACCAAGTGAAATACTAAGACTAGTTGTAGTTCAGCGATCATGCTGTAGCTGTTTTGGCTATTCTTTCCTTAGCAGTCGGTTGTACGGACAGTGTGAGCATTATATGCCCGCTGTCTACCTTGTCAAAAGTAACGCCGTATGCAATTGAAAGTATTTAGCCATTCCACGTGTCGTGTATTTGTGTGTGTATATATATTAATCAGGATATTTATAGTAGAGGAATCCGATGAGCTATACCTTTTTTCACAGATATCCAGTCAAGACGGGTTAAAGATAATGTAAGAAAGTTGTATTTCTGCTTTAGCCTATCATGCCCCTTGGATAAAAAAAAAATGTTTTATCCTGTTTTGTGACAAGTACTTAGTGGGAGTCCGATGGGTCGATTGGTACTTTCCATAGGAATGTGGAATAACCACAACTTGCTTGGGACCGCTGATGGAGATTTGAACTGCCCAAATGCTTGTTTGAGCATTGCAAGCACTACGACTTTTAGCGCATTTAGTACGTACGTTGAACTGTATGTACGTTGAACCGCTTTCGCACCGTACATAGCCAACCGTGCTAATCGGAGTAGCGGGGGAAGGGCAACAAACTAAAAACAAAAAGCAGTTTTAAAGAACACATGACGTGTTCCCAGATAATTTACTTTTATCACACCAACATATCTAGCTGTGTAGCATTTACAGTTATTGTCTTATATTCTTGGTTCTTTCGGTAAAGTCACGTAGAAGGGAAACAATAAAATAATAAAAATATAAAAAAATTAAATTATCACGACGTTTCGATTGCAACACAAGCAATCATCATCAGGTGTGAAAACCACAGCAAGAAATTTTGAAAAGTGGCGGGTTTTTTTATATTAGCACCACAGAGAGCGATTTGGCAGTTATTCAGATGGACGAGTCTATCTATGTTTGGAAATGAGGAGGGGGGAGACGAAAATAATGGATGCGGTCTGAAAGCCACTGTAAGCGTGAACAATCAATTAAGACCCGAAATGGTTGATCAAATCCTTCCAATGATTGCTTAGCCAGAATCCATCTTCACGGTTGATATTGTCTCTGTGTTTGTATATGTGGATAGCCTCATGAACGAATTTCTCATGGTAGCCAGATGGCTTGCAGAGAACCTCTGTCTTAGAGAAGTCAATGTCATGTGAGCCTACTGAATTATAACAGTGGTCTGCCACGGCCGAGGTGTTGGTCCTACCGTGTTTTAGGTCTGCTTTGTGTTCACGGATGCGGTCCGAGACATGTCGTTTGGTTTCTCCAATGTAACTACTACCAGAGGCAACTCAGTTTGTAGACGCCAGGGTACTGTATGTCCGGAATCACATATTTTACAGATGGAACTAGATCACGGATTTTATGTAATGTGTTGAATCGGACCTGGATCTTGTGTTTATTCAAGATTTTGGAGATCTGTTTTGAACGGCTCCTCAAGAGGGTCCTTCTTCATGGTTGGAGTGATAGCTTTGCGGATTGTGTAGTCGGAGTAACCATTAGCCTTAAGAGCTTGGTGTATGTGCTTGAGTTCACTGGCTATGTGTTCCTGGTCGGATATGCATTGGGCTCTATGGTGCAGAGTCTTGATGAGGGAATTCTTCTGGGATGGATGGTGGTGGGAATCCGGTTTCAGGTAAGCATCCGTATGAGTAGCTTTCCTGTAGACAGAGTGGCTCATTGAACCATCAGGTTTATTAGGACATCCAAAAAAGGATTTCAGACAAGGTAGCTTGCCATCATTTTCGACTTCCATGGTAAATCTGATGGCTGGGTGTAGGGAATTGATGTGGTCGAGGAATTTGTCTAGAGCAGGCCGGCCATGTGGCCAGATGACAAAAGTGTCATCCACGTACCTCTTCCATAAGGTTGGGCGCAGAGTGGCATTCTGGATGGCGTCAGTCTCAAATTTCTCCATGAAAATGTTGGCTACAACCGGAGATAGGGGGGAGCCCATTGGGGTGCCCTCAGTTTGTTTGTAGAAAGTTCCATTCCAAGTGAAGTATGTATTGGTTAAGCAGTGTCTCACCAGGGGGGGGGGGGTACCTCAGTGTTTAGTCCTTGATGAACCCAAGTCTTCAATGATTGCGATGGTGTCAGGTACAGGAACTTTGAATAAGGAAACTACATCAAAACTGACAAGCAGGTCGTCTGGGGAAAGGGAAATACCCTTGATTGTCGATACCAGCTGAGTTAGAATTTTGTACCGTAGAGGTGTTTTTTCCAGTGAAAGGCCGCAGGATTTCAGACAGAAAACGAGCCAGTTTGTGATGGTGTACCTGGTTGCCTGGATTTTTTTCTGGGTCCTCTGGTTACTCCCTGCACGTTTAGAAGAA